TGTTGAGCTCCCTAACTCTCCCCTCTGCTCCATGATTATGTAAAGGTTACCACTTCTCCCTCAATGGCAGCTCCCATAGCCCAAATCTGCTTCAGTTAAAAGAAACAATGGACCCATCAAGGATCACCTTGGACCCAACAGTGAGAGGATGTGAGCACAAAAGATACAAGTAAGGCCTTGGGACTGCTCAGAATGATCCAGGACCAAGCAGGGCGCAGGAGCAGTTGCCATCAACAAACTGGGATCAGCCAAGGATTTGCCCTGGAGCATCATGAAACACCACACAGGGTGAACATTCAGAACCTGTGGCATGGCCAGATATTTGCAGGATAAAAGCTCAAGTTTACCGGCGATGCTTACCTGGGAAGGGGCAGAGAGTTCACGATAGAGGGCTTGCTAATGGTTTTAAATGCACAAAGTGAGTATTTGTCCTGGCCTATCTGAAGGAGTTCATTCTGGGTTCCAAGGAAAGGAGTGTAGGTAGGGACCAAGACAACCTCCAGCAAGACCTACAGGTAACTGCAAGCGTGGGATCAACCTTGGGAAAACTCCCAGCAGACAGGGCATTTGCTTGTCAGTCAGTGTTATATATGATTATGATCAAATCCTTCTTACTTCCTCTCAGGTTAGCACAGACACTTCCAGTTTGAGAAAGGCAGATCTCAAAGGTCGGAGTGCGCTGTTGGCTGACATCCAGCAAGGAACTCGCCTGCGAAAAGTCACGCAGATCAATGACCGCAGTGCCCCACATATCGAAAGTAAGTGAGCAGTTCCAACAGGGCTTGGTGACTCCTGGGCAGGGCGGGTATGTGGGGCACAGCCAAATAGCCTGGCTGGGCTGCAGTGGTGACCCAGGATACACCCAGGCCACCTTAGACCAGTTAATGGACAGGCCAATCAGAATTTCCCTTTCTGATTTACAGATGGTTTAAACCTGCAGATAGAGGCTGGGATTATAGCTCAGCAGCATAAGCACCTTTCTGGCAAGTGCAAGGTCCTGAGTTCGATCCCCAGTACCAAAAATAAATAAATAGATAAATAAAACCTGCACATATCTTCTATTACTTTTCAAATGCTTAAAAATAAACTATTAAAAAAATCTGGGGCAACTTTTTATTGTGGTAAAATATGCATAACAAAATTTGTCATTTCTACCATCTTAATAGATGCTGTTAGTGTATTCGCAATGTTGTTGTGACCAACCGTGTTCAAGACATTCCCATTACAACACAGAGAAACCCCATACCCACTAGCCATCACTTCCATTCTTCTCAGCCTCTACCTATAGGCAATCACTACCTACTTTCTATTTCTATGGATTTGTTCATTCTGGACATTTCATAGGACTTGAATCATACTGTAAGTGGCCTCTTGTGACTGGCTTTTCTCACTTAACATAGCATTTTTAAGCTCCACCCATACCATGGAGTGAAACGCCATCAGCACCTCATTCCTTTCTTTCACATAATCTCATGTCTGGATATGGCCCATTTTGTACCTGTTATGGAGTAATATTTAAAGGCCATTTATTCTGTGTCAACATAGTCTTCAAATTTAATGACAGAATCTGAGAGTCTCAATATTTTAAAATGCAGTTTCTATTTCATTTTCCAAAGGAAAATAGAATCCTGTCTCAAGGGATCATGTGCCTGCAGTGTTCTGTCTTCTAGAACATGACAGAGAAAAGGTAGTGCTGCACATGGGTCAGACAACCTGCGCCCAGGTCGGCCACTGCTACCAGGCAAACCAAAGAATCACTACGAGGTTTAATATGCTCATCTGCATAATGGGGGAGATACCAGTATCTGCTCTTATTTGTCAATGTGGTCAAAGATTGAAATAATACATGTAGGACTAGGGAGATAGCTCAGCAGCATAAATGCCTACCTGGCAAGCACAAGGTCCTGAGTTCAATTCCTGGTACCAAAATATAAAAAAATAAATAATCATAATAATATATATAGAAGTATTTAATAATATGTTATGGCATCTTCATATATTTTACAATGGGTCCATGATGATAATTCTCAAAGATAGTCTTAACTAGAATTGTACTTCATATATATTGATACACAAAGGCACATTTGTAAAGAAATACTTTAGCATTGACTATAATTTAAAAAATTAGTCTCTGGTTAGACTCACTTTCTAATCAGACAAGTTCGATTAAAAAATTAACCCTGTTTATTGGAACGTCCATTTCTGAATCACTCCCATGAAGAAGTAATGTATAACAGTAATACTGTGCTCAGAGTCCTCTGACCACTTTCACCCACCAGTGGGCATTGTGCCCAATTTCTTCAGTACATGAGCTTCTGCTTGTAGCCAAGTTCTGCCAGGAGCTCCTGTCAAAGCCAAACAACTTCTGTGTTTCCGCAGCTGGTAAGCACACACACCAGGAAGGCTGGGAGCCTTGCTGTGCCATAAAAGAAACACTACAGAGGAGCATGAGGGACAGGGGGCCTTAAAGCTGGGGAACTGGGAAGGAAAATTCAGAAGCAGAAATCGTTACAGGCCTTTACTTCCTGCCTGCAGTTCTATCAATGCTTTACAGACAAGAAGTAAACATGGCTGACTGAATTAGATCTGTGGGTTTTCTCCCTGTTGTCCTTCCAATGTCAAGCTTAAAAAAAAGGTGCATCTCTACCAACACCATGATTGGGATTTCGAATTTGCTATGTGTTGTCAGTTCTCCAGCTGGCACTCACCGAGTAGCAGTCTCCTGGTAGCTCTTTCTTGGGTGCTTTCTAGAGTGGCAGCTACAACTGTTGGCTCTTTGGGAGGAATGGAGAGGGCAGCAGATAAACCTAAACACATGAGTCTGCAAGGGAAGGCACAGTGTGCTTAGGGAGGTGCTGAGTGGAAGGGGGGCAGTGGAGAGAGGAGGCTGCGAGGCTGCGGAAGGCAGTGGTAGAGGCTCAGCTCCACTCTCAGGCCTCACCCACTCGCTCTTCTCTCTGAAGCTTCCAAGGGGACCAACAAAGAAGGCGGAGCATCTGTGAACACCCGAGGAGGAAGCACACCCCCAGCCCTGGGAGATCTCTTTGCTGGTGGCTTTCCTGTGTTGCGACCAGCAGGCCAGAGGGATGCTACAGGTGAGAAATAATTTTTTTCTCAATCATCTTCTAGTTTTTCTTTTATTCTTCTAATTCTATGACCAGTTGTTTTGTTTTACTCATCTAGCAGCTCTGGAATCCAGCTTAAATTCTTGTCATTTTTAGGGTATCAGTAATTGATGACCTCATATGCCGTTGCTTTCTGATTACTTTGTCCTCACATTGGTCAAGGTTTCTACCCATGCTGCCCACTGAATTTTTCATTACAAGCATTTCTGCTCACTTTCTTTCATATTTTCTAGTTCTTTACCAAGTGGTCATTTGTGTCTTGTTATGTTCCTATTTAACTCGATTAGTTTATTGTTTGTTTTTTCTTTAAGCTTGTCAAACACTTTGTTGATAAAATCCTTTATTTGCTTGCTTAAATACTTTTTAAGCTCATTGAACACCTTATGCATTTGCTTGTATGTTCATCTCTTCAAACATTTTGACCATTTTGTTTATTTCATTTATAGCTTCCTCCAAGTTCAGTGTCCATGAGATAAGCTTTTGGGGAGTAACAGGGGCTCAGAGGCATCCTGTTGCCCTCCTTGCTCATGTTTCTACTGTTTTCACACTGTAAGTTGAAGATAAGTTCAGGTAGAGAAGCTCTGTTACTGAGGTCTCTTTAATTAGATTCTGTCTCCCTGTGATGTGTCCTTGGACTTAAGTTACATTTTGCTACTTATACTCCTCTTCATCTTAGTCAATATAACATTTTAAATTCTTCTTAGTGCCCAACATGTTTCTGGAGACTTGACCCTGGGCACCACTCAGAGAGGAAAAGACACGCTGTAGTAAGGTTGACAGCACAAAAACAAACCAGATACCGGCATACACTGAAAACCAATTTAAAAAGTATTTATGTAAACAAATAAAGGATTTTACCATTAAAGTGTTTGACAAGCTTAAAGAAAAAACAAACAATAAACTAACTTAGTTAAACAAGAACATACAAGACACAATTTTTTTTGTTGTTTTTTTATGTGTGTGTGTGTGTGTGTGTGTGTGTGTGTGTGTGGCCAGCTCAGCCCGCCAGGGGGCGGGGCGGGCTGGTATGTGGTGCTGGGGGATTGAACTGCTGTCCCTGTGCTTTGCTAAGCTTGTTCTAAGTAGGTGCTTTAGACCACTGAGCCATCTCACCAGCCCCTACAAGACACAAATTATACCACCATTATCAATAATAACAGGATTATTGCAGGATATTAGCATACCATAAGAACCAATACCAGCTATAACTATACCACCCTTAACAGTGGAAAAGAGATCGGCATAAATAATATAGATAGAGACAAACCAAATACTGGCATTTAGTAAATATCTAAAAGCAATAACTATGCCACCATTAACAATAAAAGAAACAATTCAATAATAATAGCATACAGTCAACTGAATAGCTAAACAATAATAAAGCATGATAATAATAATTTTTTAAATGGAGGAGGTTAGGGAAGGGAAAATAAAAAAAAATAAAATTTGAAAAGAAATAAAAGTAAGGAAAAAATCAAATTGAAGCACAAAAGAAAGTCAATAGAATTAGGTAAGGGTAAAAGAAATAGACAAACAAGAAAAATAAAAATGAATAAAAGAGCAAAAGGTAGGGGGGAAAAATAGAAACAAAAGCAGAGAAATGAGTTCAAAAGATTCCTCTAGCCATTTAGGTGAGTGGTCTGTCCCCAGGTCTGCACTAATGGGATCCAGCAGACGTGGGTGGAGGCTAGTGAGCCACTGCTTGGGCCTATTCTGCCTGCATGCCGGGGTGTGTGTATGAATGCTGATTCCTGCTCTGCATTTCCCCCTGGGCAAGGTCAGTCAGGATGTGGTATCTCCCTAAGGGTTTTATTCACTCAGCCGGTTTTTGGTGTTGTTGTCCTTCTATATGCCTCAAGGATACCTCTGACTAGCACTATGGTCTTTGGGCTCATGAGGTGCCCCCTTCTCCAAAGGTCTCAGTACGTATACCCCAGAATGTGGCAACTGTGCAGGCTAAAGTGTCCCCTTGATCACGCCGGCAGATGGGACAAACAAGCAGACCACTAAGCTCTGTGCTTGAAGTAGGCCCGCCTCCTTATCACAACTGTCTCCCACCAGCCAGGGCAGAGATCCATCTCACTGTGGTAGGGTGACCCTAGAGGCTGTGACATTTTGTGACTTCTGAGTCCCACAATAGCTCAGTCTTAAACAACAAATCCCTTCCCCAAATGGCTTCTGATTATAAAACTACCCCCAACCACAGCAGACACCACAATGAATTTCTTTTCCAACTGCAATGCTGAAGGAGTCTATTTGCAGCTTACAGTAGCCATGGCCTCTTCTTGGGCCAGCATTGCCAGTCTGCTATTTCCCCCGGGACAGCCACCCTCTCCGAGCTTACCTTGTGCTCATAGATCTAGCCCTTCTGTTTCTTGTTATGGTATTATCTCTTGGGGCAAAGCCCACTTTGGGCCCCTGACATCAAACAGCAAAGGTGGAGGCACTACTGCAAAGACATTGTATCTTCCAGAATCACTTCAAAGAAAACCCTCAACAGAGGGATGATAGCATTACTAGTCTGCCTTAAGAACCACCATTCCATAGTAGTATTGTCTGGATGGTGCTCACATCATAGCCAAAGGGCCACCAGCCTGGGAAATGGGATAGTACTGTGGTCCTGTCCACCTAGCTCCATATACCCAGAGTCACTCTCTTCTGCCTTGTTGGCCTGACTTTTCACATTGAATCCTTTAGTGCATGATTTAACATCTGGCTGCAGAAACGCTAGCGACTGATACGCACTGGAGAGCTCGGAATCCAGCAGATTCTTGGGTTCATAATCCGAAATGAAAGCTGTTTTCTTTGTGGCAGCACCCAGGAAATTTTAAGGGAAAGCAGTACCATTTTTCCAAGTGTTTTCTGTGTGCTATCATGGAGATTATAAAATATAGGGGCACTGACATAGATGAAAATGGAATTTCTTTTAGGGAGAGTGCTCTCGTTGACAGGACCATAACAGAACACTTCAAGAATGTATTTCAGGAGCAATTTCAGAACTATGCAGTAAATTAGGGGGAGTGATTTTTACCTCTAGAAAGAAGCAAGGAGAAACAAGATGAGAGCTAGCAATGCGGTTCAGGGCTGGGCAGAGCCCCAAGGACCTCGGGTCCTACCCGAGTCTTCCAGGCAACTCACCAAACACAAATGCTCACCATGGACAATTTCTTGTTGCTGAGTTCAGAAGGAGAATTGATTTTCAAGTCCAGGCTGGTGTACTGATCAGGCAAATTTATAGGCTGAGAAATCCAGGCGACCAGGAAAGAGGCAGCCCTGGGAAGCAGGCAAGTCTTTGGGAAATGGGGCTTCAAATTTCCCAAGCCTGTGAGGTTCAAATTCACAGGCCTTGGACTGCCCAGGGCAAGTGTCTCTTGCTTATATAGTCAGGGAACCAGGAATCTTCTGCTCTCAAGAAGGAAGTGAAAAAGTCCTTGCTCAAAAAGGCTGGAGGGAAACCTTCCTAGCCAGGACTTCTGGGTAGGAACCTGAGGACCCTCACTGGAGCTTGCGTGCTGAAGGGCCCAGCGGTAGGAGTAAACGCTCTTGGGGGTGGCCCTGAGGTGAGGAAGGCTTCAGGGGCCAGAGCTGTCCTGTGCTCTGCACTAGTGAACCCAGGCCTGCTGGCAGATGAGAACGGGAATGGCTCCCCATAGGAATGCTGGAGGCCTGGCCTGGGCTTATTTTAGAAGACACAGGCTCCCTGATGCTGGGAGGAAGGCTTGGGGCTGCTCAGGCTGGGCAAGCTGTGTGACAGCTGCTGCACCTGAAGCCTCTCTGTGGACCATGGGAGAGGGCTGTACTCTGCAGCTCCGGGGCCTGGTGCTCGAGGGTGTCTCCTTCCTCTATTGGTTCACTAACCTAGAATTCCTTTCACTTCTAGGTGGCAAAGCAGGGCCGGGCCCTGGCTCTCGCGCGCCTTCTCCCAGGCTGCCCATCAAATCGCTCGGAGGAGCGCCGAACCCGCCCGCGTCTCCCAGACTGGGCACCGCCTCAGAGGGGTGCGGAGCACCGCGCACAGTCCCTCCGCGACCCAGCGTGCCCGCCCCGCCGCCGCCACCGCCCCTGCCTCCGCCTCTGCCCCCTTCGTCCTCAAGCAAAGCCCCTCTGGTGTCCCCGGCAGGCCCACCGACCAAAGGGAGCCCTGCCGCGGGGGCGCCCCCACCCCCATGCGTGCCACCACCCCCTCCCCCACCACCGCCCCCTCCCCCGCTGCCCCTTGACACCGCTCTCAGTGACAAGGCGGTGAGGCCCCCACTGGCCCCGTTGAACCTGCCGCCCATCCCGCCCCCGCTCCCGCTCCTCCCGCCCTGTGGGTATCCTGGGCTCAACCCGGAGCCTACCAGCCCCGCCCAGGAGGTACGGGAGCCCCCGGCCCCGCCGGCCCCGCCCCCGCCCCCTCCACTGCCCCCCTTCGCCGCGTGCTCCCCCAGGGCTTCTGCACCTGCGTCCCCGCTCCCTGGCGCCAACAGCGGCATCGAGGCCCCCCCTCCGCTGCCCCCCAAGTCCCCCAGCTTCCAGGCCCTGCCGCAGAAGGCCGGCGCGCAAATCTTGCCCGCGCCTCCAGGCCCTCCCGGGTCTCAGCCACTTGCGCAGAAGAAGAGGCTTGGCCGAGGCCCAGGTAAGCAGCGGGTTCGCTCTGATCCTAGGGATCTTGTTTCACGGCGGAGCTATTCAGTGCCCCCTGGTGGAGCACCAGAACGTCGTGCTATTCTAGGGGACTTGAATGTTTGATGTCGCGATTGGACGTGGATCCTGAGGATGGAGGAGGTTAGGATACTTGCTCAAGATCACGCCAGAGAAAAAGCAGGCATTCTGGCCGTGCTCCTCTTGCGGTTACTGCCTGTATGGCCCTGTGCAACCCACTCAGCCTCTCTGTGCCTCCTTCTCTTCTGTAAAATGGGCTTGGCGACTGTTGCCGAGTGGCAGGATTGTTGCAAAGATTGAGTTGTTGGATATATGATGATTGGGTCTCGGAGAAGGGCTGCTCTATCGACCTCTGGCTTCAGACGTGTTCCTTAGGGCTCCGGGGCGTGATGCAGCTCATTTCTCAAAGTAGGTCTCTGGGGCCGGGGAGATGGCTCAGTAGGATAAGTGCTTGACTGGCAAACGCAAGGATCTGAGTTCAAGCCCTGGTTCCGGGGAAAATCAAGCTTAACTGATGACAGCCTTTCTGGGTCCTACATGTGGTACATAAATGTAACGGTGAGGGTCCTGTGGGGGGGAAAAAAAAAAAAAGTAGGTCTCGTTTTATTCTTTGCCTGAATTCTTCCGGCCCTAAATCTCTCCTGGCACTCCCTAGATCAGATTCACATTTTGCCCGTCGGTGAGTTCACAACTAACTCAAGAAACAGGGCCTGCATTTTTGAGCCAAAGAGCAAGCATGCTTCCTTCACATATGGAGCTGAGAGGATCTTGAGCAAAGTATGCACGGCTCGTGACTGGTTTCTGTGGTCCCTGAGAGGGACCTGGCTTCCTGTACCACACATCCCTCTATCCACACACACAACACACTCAGAAACAGACACATCAGAAATACCTACACCCCCCCCACACACACACAGACACACTTCATCTGTGCACAGACACACGGATGAACTCATCTTGCGTGCTCAGCACCCGCGCACATGCGTACTTACACACACACCAGGCCCCACCTCTACACAGCAAGTCCGCCGTAGCACTCCTGTAATCCAGGCAGCTTCCAAACAAATGAGGTTTTGAGGGGTAACTCAGATTTAAGTCATGATGTTATTTAGTCCTCCTAACAACCCTAGGGGGTATGTGTCCTGGCACAAAGAGGCTGTATTAGTTATCCCAACAGGGGAACCACACCTGAATCCCAAACAGATTGGTGTGAGCTATTGCTCTCTTGCTATGTCATTTTTGCATCCTGAGTTCTAAACACCTACCCTCTACATAAAGCTGTAGAGTCCACTATGCACATTCCTATAACTGAACACCCCATCATCTTCTCTCTAAGGGGCCGGTGGAGGAAAACTAAATCCACCTCCAGCACCCCCTGCAAGATCCCCCACCACAGAGCTTTCCAGCAAGAGCCAGCAGGCCCCAGCCTGGACTCCAACCCCACAGCCTGGAGGCCAGCTACGAAATGGAAGCCTCCACATCATGGGTAAGTGGGCACATAGCCCAAAGTGCTGCCAGAGAGGATGGGGCCTCTCAGCCTCTGGCAAGTGAGCTAGGGGGGATCTCGGTGCTTCTCAGTGAATGGGGGAGGGGAGCGTGACTCAAGCACAGGACACCTGTGGACTCTGAGATAGGGCTTCTCTCAACATTTTCTGCCTACTCCAAGGCCTACTCACATTCTGATTCCGATTAGACAAGGAAGGAGAACAGACATTTAAACTGTGTGTGTTCTTACATGTGTGTGTGAGTGTGTGTCATCTGTCTGTCTGTTGTCACAGAGAAATTAGTGTATGCATCTGAAAGACCACAATGACTTGGATAAAAGAAAGAAATGAATGGGAAGCTTACCAGGCAGAGGGCACAATCAGAGCAAAAAATGCATGTAGGAGGGAAGCCACCTGGGGTCAGATGTGACCATAAAACTTCTGCATCCCTGGGATAGTGTCTGCCAGACACAAGGGCCAGACCACACAGCAGAGAATCCACCCATGGAAGGGCCACATGGCCCCTCCCACCCTCTACCAGGAGCTCAGAGCAGAGCTGTTCGCTTTGAGGCACCCAGGTGCTACCCTGGACCCGAGCAGGTTCCTTCTCACTCACCCAGGACTCCGTGTCTACTGCCCATGTCCCCTAGTGCCAGGAGCTTCAGGCTTCTGGACCTTGTTGGGCCCAGGTTCTCCACTAATTCTAGACTCTGGATAGCCCTGATCATTCCTGTCCCTTTCAGAAGCTTCCTTGAAACTTTGGTTGGAGCTTTGGAGGTAGGCTAGGGGAATGCCTGGGTTTTACTCCTGGGTTTCTCCTCCTTCCTCTCATCACAGCCAGTCACTAGATTTGTAAGGTGGATGGATGTCTCTGAGGTAGTAGTCCTGCCACCCAACTCCTTGCACAGAACAGGTGGACAGAAGACAGCATATTCAGTCAAGTTACCCGTGCAGTCCTGGAAATGATCACACATGGGTCACGACAGTCACCCCAGTAACCTTTACCATTTCCCACATGTGCAGACGACTTCGAGTCTAAGTTCACGTTCCATTCTGTGGAAGACTTTCCCCCTCCAGATGAATACAAACCATGCCAGAAGATTTACCCCAGCAAGATCCCCAGAAGTAAGTACCCCCTTGCTGAGACTCCTGGCTTTTCTTCACTCTCCTAAAGTAGATACTCAGAGTGTGCTGACTGACCACAGATTCCCAAAAGGGTGATGTCCTGATTTGCTGGCCTAAAAGGATGTGGTAGTGTCCCTACTTCTGGAAGTGTCAGAATCTTTTTATCCTGATACCTAATGATTTATTTGGATGCTTTTTATAGGCTAGGATTGACTCTGCCATCAGATTTGGATGCCTAAATTAACTATGTATCCCTCCCCTTACTAAAACTTTAGAGTAGGAAGCTAAACACCCTAAAACATCCCAATGAAATAGGATACAGGTTCTTTGCATTAATAGCTACAGAGGAAACTGAAAGTCTACAGTTTAGAGTTTCAACAAACCATGAAATGGAAAGTATCCTTGGGCCAATGATTCTCAACTTAGGCTCCACATTAGAATGATCTAGGAGCTTTTAAAAACCTTGAAATCCAGGCTGGATCTGATCAGAATATCCAAGGTAGCACCCAGATGTCAATATTTTTTAAAGCTGCTGGGTCATTCCAGTAGCTAAGGTTGAGACTCACAACCCAGAGAGAGCCCGCTTCTGCTTGGCTTGTGTGGACAGGCTTTAAGAGGCCCAACTCAAAACACTTATTCGATGGAGAAGCAGAGGCTGGCCCACCTGCCCCTCAGGCCCAAAGTAGGAGGGAGAGAAGGCAAAGAACATAAGGGTTACGGTGTTGCCCGACCAGTGACGCTGCCCTCTTGGGAACAGCCGTCAGTGCATGTGTAACACTGGGCCAGATTGGACAGGAGGTAGTAAGCAGCAGCAACACAGGGTGAGGGTGGATATGTTCCTATTCCACATGTAAGTAAGACACCCCACCCCATCCCTTGCCCATAGTCTGTTCACCCAACTGCAAAAGCATCAGTGTCCAGGGCTAGGCCATAACCAGGAGTCAGGGATCAGGTTTGGTGACCCTGTCCTTTCAGAAGGTTTTTGGTGAAGTCACTTCTGATGGACTCCAATTCCTGCAGAGCAAATTCAAGCCTTCTCTGCTCAGGACAGAGGCTTTCTCAGCACTAGGTGGGGCACAGATGTCCCTACTTGCTATGGGATGGCACACAGGAGAGAATGGTCTGTGTACTGTCTGTTAATCATACATGTCTACCACTTTTCTGAACTGGAGAGAGAGAAGGAGAGGATGGGTGTGAAGGTGAATAGGCCTCACTGAGGGTTCCAATGACGATCCAGCAACAGGAGGACAGAGCTGCTGTGTCTGTGTGCCTTCCTGCTCAGCTCAGCCAGTGCCCTTGAATCTCCACTGAACACAGGTACCCTGAGATCACCAGAGGTAACCCAGTGTCAGAAACAAGGACCCTTCACTAAGTCCCCAGCCTGCACACTCCTGACATGTGTGAGAGATTAGCTGTAAGGAGTGAAAATGTCCTAAAAACATTTAGCGTGTTGAGTGAGGGTCACCATGATGGGCAGAGGTAGAGGTGGAGGACTCAAGGGCCTAGAAAGATGTCATTTCCATGTGCACAGGAAGACATCGGACCTGAGGACAGCACAGACCCAGGAGAGACCCTGGGAGTGCTGGTGCATGTGGGAGCCATTAAGTCCTCTGTAGTTTGTCAGGGTATAAAGTGCCTGCCTGGGGTGAGGCTACACAGGGGACCAGAGGTTGCAGAGTGCCAGTCACCTCTTTTCTCAGCTTATAAAACTTGCACAGGTATCAGACAGATGAATGCTTAGGTGTTCATATCTTAGTGGCTGATACAGCATAGGTATTCAGCAGCAGCCAGCTTTCTCAGGCTGCCCCTAGTGCCTGCAAAGAAAGCTCTATCCCATCACCCTACACAGCTTTCCAGAGAAGCCACAGTTGGAGGCTGCGCTTCGCTCCTTTCCTGCCTCAGGGAAACATTCACATCAATGCCCACACAAGTCATCTTCTGTTGCTAGACAGAGACAATAAAGCACCAAAACCAAAAACCTGTTAAATGAGCTGCCATCCTACAGACTAGAAAGCGCAATTTCAATTTCAAACACAAGATGACTTTTAGATGGATATGGCATCCGTGGACATGCAGTCCTTTAGGAGCTTCCCAGCAAAATTAAATGAGCACGGTCCTGCCATCCTGGGAGCATCAGAGTAGAAATGTGTTAATGACACTACTGAGTTAGCTCCGGCTGTGCCTGTCTCATTGTGTTTCTCCATAAAGCCTTCCTCTCTCTCTCCATTGACTGACTTAGTGTTCTGTATGGTCTGGGAGGCAATGTTGGTTCTGTCACATGAAGGTGGTCTCATGCTGTATGGCGTGGGGCTCACTGTCTGTCCCCTCCTGCATGTTTATGTCTTCTCTCCTTCCATTATGTGCATACATGTGCACACACATGCACACGCACACACAGCACACAAATACCCTACTGCTTAGCTCTTTCTCTAGCCATCTCACTGTCTCTGTTGTGACATTCTTGGGTTTTTTTATTAGTAGGATAATTTTGTCTAGTTTCTAAAGTAATTTTAAATGTATTAGATTCCTCAAAAATTTAAACATAGAATTAGTCAACTTTCCGTTACTGTAAAAAAAAAATAGAGTAATCAATTTAAAAAGAGGAAATAATTATTTTAGTTTATGGGTTCAGAGGTCTGAGCCTGTCGTTGGTTGGCCCTGCTGCTTCTGGGCCTGAGGCAAGGCAGCACATTCTGGTAGCAAGTGTGTAGCCCCGCAGACATGCTTCCTTCCCAGTGGCTGGGGAGTGGAGGAGAGAAAGGAAGAGACCAAGTGCCACAGCCCCCTTTGAGGGCACACCTGCCATGACTTAAGACCTCCAGTGAGGCCTCAGGTCTTAAAGGCTCCACCAATTCTCAGGAGCACCACTGGTTGGGGACCAAGCCTTCCTCATGTGAGTCTTTGGAAGACATTCGAGATCAAACTATAACTGAACCATCAATTCCTCTCCTTGGTATAGATCCCAAAAAGGGTTTTGGGTTTTTTGTTTGTTTGTTTGTTTGGATTTTAGGGCAGAGTCTACAGGGTATTCAGGGTCTCACTAGTAGATCGGACTTATAGTGATCCACCTGTTTACAGCCTCCCAAGGCTCGGATTACAGGTGCACACCACCATGCCCAGTCTCAATTGCTGTCTCAGGGAGCCCCAGGGCAGGGCCGGTAAGGCAGGCCTGCGTGCGGATCGAGCTCCAGGCCCCTGCGCCTACTTGCAGATGCTTTAATCTGCTGAGCTATTTGGCCGCCCTCCCCTAAAGTTTTAAACTAGTGTTCAAACAAAAACCTGTGTGCACACATTGCTAGAAGAATAACTCACAGTAGCCAAACAGCAGAAAAAGCTGGAGGAACAAACAACTGTGGTCCAGAAGTACAGTGGGCCCCAACCCAACAACAGAAAGAGGGCCGTGCTGAGACACCTCATCACCAACAGAGCTTGAAAACGTGAGCTAGGTGAAAGGAGCCAGCAGCGAGGGCCACAAAAGAGTCCATTTACATGAAGTATCTAAAATGAGCCCATTCACGCAGGTGGAAAGCTGAATAACCGGCTGCCAGGGAATTTGGGGTGAAAAGTGGGGAGTGACTGCTAATCAAATGGATGTCTTTGTAGTCTGGTAAAGTGTCTTCTTCAACATTGTGAATGTACTAAATGTGACTACTAGTAATCTGTATGTGTATTTACTACAGTGAAAGAAGATGACCAAAAGCCATATCAGGAACCTTTGGGGGAAAGTACGTAGGTCACAAATGTTTATTAACATGATAGTAGAAAGAGTGAAGCCGTCATTATAGCAGCAGTTGATTAATGAAGTCCTCACCCCTGGACAGATATTACTTCTTGCATATAGCATGCGCCCTGGAGAGAGTCACATTATATAAGAGGAAGAGCAGGGTGCTAGACACCCAAATGTGTCCTTGAGTCTGGTATTCCCAGGAGAACTATCTTCAGCATAATCAGTTCTGGTGAAAAGTCATTGATTTTAAACATGACTATGTTGGCATCACAGCTTCTATTTGTTTTTAAATTTTTAAAACACATACAGAAGCCTGCTTAGGCAGATGCAGGAATCAGGGTTCAGTCCCTGGCATGCCATGCCAGCCCTGCCCCCAGGCATGCTGAGACGTGACTGAGACGGGCCATGGCGGTGCATGCCTGTCATCCCAGTGCTTGGGAGGCTGAAAACAGGAGGATCACTGAGTCCAGTCTGTGTAGTGAGACCCTATAGACCCTGTACTAAATATATATAAAAAAAATATAACACATACAGAAAATGTTACCATCTTAGTAATTTTAAGTGTACAGTGAAGTCAGTTAAGAAACTCACATTGTTGTGACACTGTTTATTTTATTAGTAATAGCTCTATATGCATTCAATAAAAGCTCCACTTTCCCCTTGCTCCCAACCTGTGGCAATGACCATTCTACTTTTCTACCTCTGTAATTTTGAGTATTCTAAGTACCTCACAATAAATGGAATCACACTTTTTTTGCCACTGGCTTATTTCACTTAGCAAACTATACTCAAAGATCTGTAGCTTATGTCAGAATGTCATACCTTTTTAAGGCCAAATAATACTCCATTATACACAACACACACAGCATACACACACACACACACACACACACACACACACACACATTTTGTTTACCCATCCACTGTGGGGCATTCATAGCTTCTGTGCTTTAGCTATTGGAAGCAATGCGCTATGAACATGAGTTTATAAATATTCAAGATCCTGCTTGCAAATGAAAATTGCTGGGTCATATGCTAATTGTTTTTATTTGAAGAACATCAAACTGCTTCCCACACCAGTTCCAACATTTTACATTTTCACCAACAGTTAACCAAGGCTCCAGTTTCTCCACATCTTTACCAGCACTTATTTTTCATTTTTAAATTCTATTTTATAGTAGCCATTCTAAGGGGTATGAGTGGCATCTCACTCTAGTCCAGTTCCTATTTTAAAAGTTATTTCATAATGCAGCTCTGGCCCCAGCCCCAAGTG